GTGGAGGGCGTGATGGATGCGCTGGAGAAGGCCGCCACCGCCGCCACCGCCAACGCCAACGCCGCCGCCACCGCCAACGCCGCCGCCGCCAACGCCGCCGCCGCGCCGCCGCCCCTCACTCTCAACCTCTCTGGCCCGGGCGGCGCTGCGTGGGGCGACGGCGAGATGGCGGCTCTCGTGCGGCGCCTCGTCGGCCGCCCCGCGATCGCGGCGCTCCTCGGCGAGCTGTTGGCGCACGTCTCCGCACGCCTCCCCACACCTCCCCCCACATCTCCCCGCATCTGCCCGCAGGCGAGCTGTGGGTTCACCACACAAGCCTCTCCGACGAGGCGGCGAGCCCGCTGAGCGAGCTGATCCGCGCCTCGCCCCTGCGCGAGCTGCACGTCTCGGACTGCAACCCGGGCCTCTCCCTCGACGGCGTCGAGGCGCTGGCCGCCGCGGCGGAGGAGGCGGGCCGCGGCTCGGCCCGGTTAGGGCGTGCGTGGGGCGTCGCGCCTCCTCACCTCTTGGCTGTGGGCAGGCGGGCTGCGGCTCGTCGTCGCGGCCGCGCCGCCTGTACATCAACGCGCGCCACCTCCCGCCCTCCGCCGAGGCCGTGGCGATGCAGAGGTCCTTCGCCGCGTCGGTCACGCTGCGGCTCGGCGGCGGCCGCGGCGGCGGCAAGGGCTCGCCTTCGCCGCAGGGGAGAGGCAAGGGCTCCCCCGCCTCGCAAGGGAGGAAGGGCGGCGGCAGCGGCGGCGGGCGGGCGCACCACAAGGGCGGGAGCCCGGCCGGCAGGGGAGGCAGCCCAGGCGGCAGGGGAGGCGGTCGGGGCGGTCGGGGCCGTGGCGGCGGGTCCGCCGGCCGCGGAGCTGCTGGCATGCCCGTGCCGGCGGGGGGGTCGGGCGGCAGGATGCCCCCGGGCAAGGGGAGCGGAAGGCACCGATGAGGCGATGAGAGACCGCGCAGTTCTCCAAAAAGGACCCGGGTGTGTCGAGCAAGTTACAAGTACACATGACAAGTTTCAACACCCCCCCCCCCTGCCCCTCGCCCCGCGGCCCCGCTCGCTATTGAACAATCGAATCGCTCTCTCGCCACGGCCCACGCCCCACGCCGCGCACTGCGAGCACACACACACACACACATCACGTCTCGCCCTGACACCTCACTCGGCCGATACACTCGCCACGAAGCAAAACTGCGTGTCAACCGAGCTACCTGCGGCACAAAACCTGTGGTTGTTTCGCGCGCCGCGCTTTGCACACTCAGAGCGCCGCCGCCGCCCGTGCTGGCGCCTGAGATGGCACCTGGCACGGCGCGCGGCCCTGCCCGGGGCCCGCTCACTCGCAAAAGAGCTTGGAGGGGAGGATCAGCAGGCCGAGGATGAGCATGCCGGCGGCGGCGTACTTGACGCCGTCCCACGGCTCGGAGCGGGTGAGCAGCAAATGCGCCGCCGCCGGGGCGATGAGGGCGATCATGGTGGCGCCGGTCGAGCCGACCAGCGACACGATCGCGCCCAGGTCGGTCACGCTGAAGGCGGTGAAGCCGGTGAGGAAGAGCACGCCGACCGTGATGCCTGCAGCGGGAGTGCACCCGTGTCAGGGCGCGAAGACGGTCTCGTGCCGTGTGTTCAGAGCACCGCGCGAGTAAGGGGCTCCGACTGCAGTGGATGAAGCCGAATCCAGCCGGATCCAGCCGGATAAAGCTGGATAAAGCCGGATCCAGCCGAATCCAGCCAAACACACCGCAACACAGCCGAGTCCGTGTCCTCTCGAGTGCAGGTTGGCACACAGCTGTACTATACTCCGCATCTAGGCCGCGGTGCCGATCTCGCGGTGCGACTGCAGGAAGAGGGAGCCCCGGCCGACGCCTTTGCGGTGGGCCTGCGACTCGCGGTGCTCGTACTCAAAGTAGGGCTGGGAGAGGCGGAGTGCCTCGGGGTCGGTGGGCGGCACGAGGAGCTCGTAGATGGAGAGCATCGACACGCGCCTACCTCCCTCGACCCGCCTCGGGTGATCTCGGGCGATCTCGGGCGATCTCGGGTGATCTCGGGTGATCTCGGGTGATCTCGGGCGACCTCGGGTGATCTCTGGCGATCTCTGGCGATCTCGTACGACCTCGGGTGACCTCGGGTGGATCTATAGTGACCTCGGGCGAACTCGGCTGTATCTCGGCTACACTCGCGTCGGGAACATCTGCAGCGGGTAGTTGCACAACACGACGATGCCAAGCACGGTGCGCGCCGCAGAGACGTACGGCGTGACCGGGTAGGCGTTGATGATGTTTGAGGTGACCTATACCGCGCAGGAGGCGGCGAGTCAGCAAGAGCAGCGGCACGTCGTCGACGAGGCGCTGGCGATGTGCGAAGGGACGTTGTCGCCAAAGGTCAAGTAGCCGCACGAGGCGATCACGAGGTAGAGCAGCAACGGCAGCAGCGGCGAGCCGTAGACCACCTGCGGCTCGGGTCGTCTCGACGTCATCTCGACATCCTCTCGGGCCCTCTCGGCAGCAGCGGCGAGCCGTAGGCCACACCTGCGCCTTCCGCGCGGCTGTCGGGTTGGCGAGCTCGCCGACGGCATTGTACACGTTCTGCTGGCACGTGTACGCGTTGACGAAGAGCGGGAGCGTGCAGAAGACGCGCATCGGCGCCTAGCGCAGGCAGCTCGGCTGGTCCCCGCTGACCTCGGGCGAGCTCGGCTGATCTCGGCGATATCTCGGCTAGACGCGCGTCCGCCCCTGGCGCAAGGATGCGCCAGAGAGTCGGGGCCGGCCGCCTTTGTGCCGTGTGCGCAGGCCGCGTCGCGGCAGTGCAAGGGCTGGTGCTGCTTGAGCACAGTCGAGCCCGTGTCGTCTCGGGTGCCAGCTGGACTCCCGCAATCTGCACACACACACACACACACACATCTAGAGCGGCACACCGTCGAGCCCCAGGTGACGGGGCCTCCGCAGTGGCCGTGAGGGCCGACCTTGGCCGAGACGCCGGGGCACGGGTCGAAGGCGGAGCCGGTGGGGACGACCCCCATCACGACCACCATCAGCACGATCCCGATGAGGCAGCAGATCGCCACCGACGACGACGCCTTGAGGGTGTCGAGGTTGCGGAAGAGCGACGCGGGCGAGACGGCGAGGATGGCGACGAGGACGCACGTCTTGCGCGGGAAGCCCAGCGCGGAGAAGCAGTCGGCGGCGACGATGAGGTACGAGGCGGCGCACCCCACGCAGTTGATGATGACGGCAAAGTCGATCAGCAGCCCCGAGTTTGGCAGCGCCGCCTCGCACACCGTCGCAAACGTCGCGGGCGCCTTGACCTTCTCTCCGCTGCTGAGGAGGAGTTTCAGGCTGAGGGAGCAGAGGCCGGCGGAAGCGATGCAGAGCAGCGTGCCGGAGGCAAAGCCGCCCAGGTGGTACGCCGACGGCAGCGCGAGGATGCCCGTGCCCATGCAAGTCGAGGCGAGATTGATGATGCACGAGGCGACGGACGCCTTGCCGCCCGAGGGCGAGGCGAGCGGGAGGGCGTCCTGACTGAGGCGGTCGTTGGACGACGGCCTCATCGACGTCATGGCTGTTAAAGGCACGGGGTCACAGGGTCGCTGCACAGGGTCCCCGCTGCTCTCGTCGGCCTCCGATATCAACCAGCCACAGGGTTCCGGCTCCTAGCCAGATAGGGGGTCTGCCAAGTCGCGCCAAAACGCCCTACCTACCTACCTATCCCCAGGCCGCGCAGCGAAGCGAAAAAAGACGAAAATAGGGGGTACCTACCTATTGCGGGGCCCTCTGGGGCGGTCAAAACCGGACCTACCTACCTATTGCACAGCGGGGCCAGCCAGTGGGAACAGACCCCCTATCTGGCTAGGAGCCGGAACCCAGCAGGAAAGGAATTCGCCTCGCCGGACTGGCGCACACAGGGCTGGAAAATAATTCTAGCGCACGCAGACTGGAAATACGCACGGACTGTTTACTTCCTCCGGCGGAAAGAAAAATCGGCACAAGATCACCCGGTGAAAGAGTCAAGTAATTACGTCGGCCTCCGCACAAGCAGGAAAAGAATTTTACGAGCACGCGGTCGCACGACACGATTCAGGATTCACGCGACAGGCGAGGCGCGGGCGACGGCTTCCTCAGAAGCCGTCGCCCGCAACACAGGAGCAGTCAAAAGAATTCGCCTCTGGGCCTCCCTTGGGTTACTATCCTACCTACCGACCTGGGTGGTCTGTTTTCTTTCTTTCTTTTTGGCGCACACAGGGCTGGAAAATAATTCTAGCGCACACAGAGCTGGAAATAATTCTAGCGCACGGACTGTTTAATTTGTCCGGTTGGTGCAAGGGCTTCTCGGTCACCTCGCCGAACACGCAGCTGATACAAGCTGGTTCGGCGAATACTCAGGATGCGTGCCTCGACGCTTGTATAGCCGGCGCGTACGCCACGTGCGCGTGGCAGTGCAACGGGTGTTACGGCTCCCGGGGGTTGCCATCACCGCGGCCGATGGGCATCCAAAGTGACACGACCGGCACCTCTGATACTTCGTTCGCGACCTGCTTCCAGTACGCTTACTACCTAGGCGCCCAGCAGCCGCGATGCTATGCAAACGAATGGGATGCCGACGGCCAGCCAAATGCAGGTTGCTTTACGTGGTGCTGTGACGAGGATGACGCGTGTCCCGCCGAGTGCGCAAGCGGCGAGACGGTCGCGTACTGCCACATGAAGGAGCACTGCACCGATTCCCGATTCCCGTTCCCGTCTACGTGTGCTGACAACGTGTGCTACAGCGAATCGCAGTACGCCTCGTGTGGTTCGAACCCCGGTGTGCTCGACCATCGCACACGCCCGACCCGGGTGGTGAACTCTAATGCTCAATTTGTTGCCTGCAGGCCCCTCGGTTTGGTGCTGCACGGACGATTCTTGCCCTACCGACACCGAGAACCGCTGCGCGCCTGCTCCTCCGCCTGCTCCTCCACTTTTGAGTCACGCCTGGAATTCATCCCTTCAAACCTGCAAAAAGGCTTTCCAGGGAACGATGGCTGCGATGGGATCGATGGTTCTCGTCGACGCAACGTTCTACGCAGCGTGAGCTTAGCACCCCGAGTGGTGACAGGACTCAAACGACGCTGCTCTTTCACGAGGGGGCACCAAAAAATAGGTACGAGGCCACCAAGGAGGCTCTCCCGGAAGAGGTCGCCCGCCCTGTTGGCCCCAGTGTACTCGCACGCGCTTTCTCACCCTTATCCGTACTCGTAGTGCCCGGATACCAGCAAAAACGCTGACACCATGAAGTCGACGAAGCAGTATGCTGAGAAGGCAATCCGGAACGATTTGATTGCTTGCGCCTACTCGCCAACCCAGTTCCTCAACTCCACCAAGGCTCTGGGAGCAGCAGCACAATCGGATGCCCAGGCGGCAGATGGGAAAGGTTGCGGGCCCTTGACGCAGTCGATAGCAAATTCTTGCAGCGATGCGGTATCGGGCATGAACCTGACAGGTTTCAATGCAAAGCTGGTGACAGACTATTGCAAAGGCATCCTCTGCGGCGTCATGAAGAAGGCCGAGAAGGCAGCGGCTGAGGAAGGAGCGGAGAGTTTCACGTGTGAGGAAGCAGAGGAGGAGGCGGAGGAGAAGGAGGAAAAGAAGGAGGAGGAGCGCGAGGATGAGATGAAGGAGGAGGAGGAGCAGGAGCAGGAAGAGCTCAGCGAGGAGGAGCAGGAGGAACAAGAGGCTCTTCAAGAGGAGGCCGCAGACGAGGCGGCTGAGGAGGCGACAGAGGAAGCCGCAGAAGAGACCGCCGAGGTTGCTGCCGACGCGTCGATTGACGCTGCAGAGGATGCCGCAATCGAGGTTACGGCCGATGTGAGTGAAGCGGCATGCCGTCCTTGCACTCCGCCCCACCCCCTTTTCTCACTCTTGCCTTAATGTTTTGCAGGCGGGTGCCGATGTCCTGGGCGATGTCCTCCTCTGCTGTTGTTTCTGCTGGATGTAATCGCGCGCCATCTGGGGTCGAACCCCGGACGAACCCTCAGCCACAAACCTACCCCGGGGGAGGCTCTCTCTCCATAGGGGTCCAGGCAGAGGCGCGCGTGCCTCTGGCGCATGATAGGGATGGGGGAGAGGTGCATCGGGCCGGATCCGTTCGTCGCGCCGTGCCACCTGGTGGGCCGGTGCGGGTGTAATGGGGGCCGTGTCGTTTGACGGGTCGGGTCGGATCCGTTCGTCGCATTGTGTCGTTATAAGAGTGGCCGATGCGGGTGTAATGGGGGCTTTCGTTGTCGTAAGAGTAACGAAATAATTTTATGGACATGTGTGTCTCCGCCCTGCAGCTGCACGATCTTGGTGTGAGGGACCTTCAATCCGCCCCCTCACCCCTGCGCCCTGGTCTTGGTATAAGATTTTTCTTTTCCAGGTCTGAAAATCACCACGACAAAGAGAGTGCACCATTGTACAACATACAGACGCTCGGGCTCGGAGACCAGGGCAGAGCTCACTTCTTCTGCTGCGCCTCCTTCAGCTTCGCCTCCGCCTGCGACTTGAGTTGGGCAAACTTGGAGCCAAATCCGCCCAGCCCACGCTTTGCCTGCTCGGCCGAGCCGCCCGGCGGCGGCTGTGCCGACGGCGCCATCGAAGTGCTCCGGTCGTCTTGCAGCGCGAGCAGGTCCGCCTTGAGGCCGGCCTCGCGCACGCGCAACTCGTCCATCTCCGCCTCGGCGCGTGCGAGCCTCTCCTTGGTCGCCTCCCGCTCGTGCCGCGCCTCCGCCAGCTGCGACACCTGCGGGGCGGGCGAATGCGTCGGTGAGGTGACACGGTGCTCATTTCCCGGGCCGAAGGAGGGCAGCCGCGCCAGCTGCTGCATCTCGGCGGCGTCGGGAGTCTGCAAGGCCCGCGCGCTCTCGAGCTCGTCCTTCAGACGCTGCGCCTCCACCACCGCCTGCAGCCGCTGCGCCTTGAGGGCGGCGACCTCCGCCTCGCGCTCCTCCTCGCGCTGCCCGTCCCGCTCGTCCGCCTGCAGCGGCGCAAGAGAGTCGCCGGGGAGCGGAGGGGAGAGGGGCGAGCAGCGGGCGATGGGGCGGTGAGGGACGCACCTTGCCGCCCAGCTTCTTGAGCAAGCCGCCGACCCCCTCCAACCCTCCCCCCTTCCCCCGCGCCGCCTCGGCCGCTGCGGCCGCCGCCTCCGCCGCCGCCGCCGCCGCGCCCGCCTCGGCCGCCTGCGCCTCTGCGGCGACAAGCGACTGGATGGCAACCTCCCGCTCCTCCTGCGCGCGCGCCGCGGCGGCCTCCGCCGCCGCTCGCGCATCGTCGACGTGCCCCAGCTGCACCTTGACACGGGCGAGCTCCTCGACAGCCGCCTCCGCCACCGCCTCTGCCGCCGCCGACGCCGAGCCTGCCGCCCCCCTCGCCGCCGCCTCTGCCCTCGCCGCCTCCGCCTCTGCCCTCGCCGCCGCCGCCTCTGCCCTCGCTGCCTCCGCCTCCCGCAAGGTCTCAGCCGCCGCGGCGCGCTCCGCCGCCGCCGCAGCCCGGTCGGCCTCCGCCTCGCCCCGCGCCCGCTCCGCCTCGGCCAGCCGCGCCTCCGCCTCCGCCTCCGCCTCCGGGCTTAAGAAGTCATCCGAAAGCTCCCGACCCCGCCCTGGCGCTACCCAAACCCGGGGTCGGACCCCCACCCCGCCTGGCAAGGGGGTGGCCCGCCCGACCCCTCCCGATCGCCGGGGGGTCCCCCTTCCCCCTGAAGCCAAGCTTCCGTTCCTCCGCCCCCGGGGAGGGGG